CTTACCATGTTGGTCGGTCCCTCTCTCTAGCTCCTGCGGTGCGGGCGCCTTGCCTCTTCGATTCTCTGCATCGAATGATGACCAAGCATTATTTTCTGTGTGTGAGCGTGTTTGGTTTTTGCCATCAAGTGGGGGAGGGGGCCGATTGAAAGAGGGTAAAGGGTTCCCATTCGACTCAGGGTTTCCCACTGACAATCGTGAAGCACAAAACATACGAGAGGTCTTCAAAGCAAAAGAACAAGCGAGGAAAAACTTGGGTCCCCCTATTGCAGGCAAAGGCACACTGGTGTGAGAGTCTTTACAGTACCTTCATGGGTACCTAAATAGGAAGTACATCCGTTGCCCTTACGAGGTACTAAAAACACAACACAAGAATTTCATGAAATAAATATTTGGGATTTACCCCCCCCTAAAAAAGAGGAATTTGCAAGGTGTATTGTCACAAATTAATTTTTGTTTTACATCAGGACAAATGGTTAAAATGTCAACTCAGGAAAAACAATCTGGTTCGATTCGGAAACTGCGCTTCACATACTAAATCTTTAGTTTACACTTAAACAACAGAAATACCCCCACAAGAATGTGTGAAACCCATTGATTATTTTTACTGACACGAAATGCTCACCGTGGTCGTCCACCAACTTGTATATCTCATTGCGAAGAGCCAGCCTTCTCTCCTCACCTTGAAAAAAAAGGCCATTTGTGACACATGCCGGTAAATGTCAGCTTTAGTTCGGAGACCTGTGACCCGCGGTCTTGGATGCGATGGGCACACAAAATTTGAGAGTGGGTGTTTCCTTTTTAATTCTGTGGATATTAAGTCTTTTGGTCTCTAAGGAACGGTGGTTTGTGAAAGCAATTACACAAATGATGGATGAAAAACATAATGAGCAAATAACACTAAATAAAAAAAAGAAAACTGCATAATACATCAATGATTCGTTGTGAAATGACTTTTGTTTTTAAGATTTTAGACAAGTGAAAAGATAAATTTTTAACTTCCTTTGTGTTAACCCAGAACGAATAAATACTGCATATGATACTGTTTGCCATAAATTTGCACAATTATGGTGAGCAGGCGCCCTAGATCGTCTCTTGATCTACGCAGCGAGTAATGGACCTTATTCACGCAGACGCCATTTAAGATCTTATGCCTGAATCAGTCCGATGAATTGCGAACTGTCGTTTAGGATGGCACCAGCCTGTTTTCTGATTTGCATGCGTCGCAAGCCTCCCTTGCGGTATTTTCCAAACTTTGCTGCAAACACTAAGCCACAGTTTCGTAGTTTTTATTCACAAATATGAAATTAATCATCAGAGTATAGGCAGATACTATTTTGCTGTGAACATCTCATGTTATTACTTTCATTTATACTCTCAAAGTTTGAAATGAAGAGTTAACCTCGTTTTCGATTTCAATATAGCCGACCCATGAATAAAGTCTCTTCCCTGACAAGATCGTGAATAAAGTAAAACAATTGCTTTATTTCGAAACTTCTTTGATTTACTTAGGTCTCATGAAAATGTTTGATAAAAATATAAACTGAAGTTGTGAAAAAACAACACTCGAAATGGAAAAGTTTTGAGTAGGTTTTGGCATTTTATCACGTCGTGAAAACAATGACAAAATAAACTCCCATTTCTCGAATGCATTAGTTGCGCCCAGAAAAAATGATCTAATTCCGTGTAAAAAAAAATAGGTAAAAAATAAATAGGGATAGGTTGTACAGCTTTAACCACTGGAATCCGAAAAGTCTGCTATCTTCAAAAGGGCTGGGTATGTCGGTTAGACGAAAAAAGATACTTTGGAACTGACGTGTGCGTGTACATGTATATAGAGGGTTAGCAGAGCTGCCATCTTACAGGCCAATGCTTTTTGGTTCCACAGGGTATGCACAGAGGAGGTTTCACTGTAGAACAAAAGGAACTGCCCTTCATGATGGCTACCATGCAAAGCCTCTAATATTGACCCCGCTGAGGTATGATTCAGAATCTCGTAACTGCAGGAGGTTTTCGGATGGGCGCAACAGGCTCGAAACTGTTGCAAAAGAATCGAATGCTTACCTGATAGCTTGTTAAAGTCATACGCGCAGACACAACCAAGGCATATCAGCAAAATAAGAGTGGTGTAACCCTCCATGGTTGCTGCAGTAGACTGAGAATATGAGAAACAAAGAAGAAGGCAATCTGTATTCAAACAAGCTTCCGGGAGACCATCCCCAAGCTTGAAGCCAGGGGCCATGCAAAGTGCATCATATTATACTTTAGCTCCATGGTCACCTCTAGAAGTTAGCAGAGCTGGACATGACCACCATGTTCGATCCGTAAGGGGTGGAAGTACAACGACAGGTTACAACTTCCAAAACCTTGTATTATTATTAGTTAGTATTATATTAAGTAACACGGAGATACCATGAAAGACGACTATGTACTGGCATTTGCAAACTCACATGAGAGCTTCGAACTTCCTTAATCCTTCAGGGCTAGGTTGACGTTGTTCCTATCGATGCCAAGTCAGCAGATCGGATGCGTGTTTGGCGTACACGTATACTAGTCTTAACGGCACAGTTGCCTCACGTACGGCACTGCAGTGCAGGTAAACGGGCCAATTTGACCCAACAAATCGACCCTTAATTCTTTTCGCTTGGCAGGCAACCTTTACACTCAAACAAACCGAGAACAGACGAACCCTAAAAAGCCCTTCTGCCTAACAGCAAGATATACACTTGGAAAAAATGCAAAATACTTCATCTTTGTTGTCTGCAATACAATAGCACGAAAATGTCGGCGGCCTCCAATAATCCCTGCTTGTCTTGTTGTGTCTGAAACGCGCCAATAACTACACTGTTGCATGGCTCGTCTGTGCCCTACATTAAACACCTCTTTATCCTTCAGCTACCATATGCAGCAAGGTATGAGACGGAGAGAACCCCCCCCCTGCTTTGTGTTGGTCATTATCTCGCAGGAATCTGGGGAATTCCTTTCAGACATCTTGGCGGGGATGTGTTAAGTAACAATAGTCTGGAATGTGTATAAGGATTGGACATGTTGGGGGGGTACCCCTCGGTCTCATTTCTTGCTGGGTATATCAGCTACTGTTGTTTTCCCGGCCAATTTCGGAAAATGTGTAAAGGAATTAGCAATGGCAGCATTCGTTTTTAAGCGAAATGGAACGAACATTCGAACCCAGTTTCTATTTAACAAAAACAAATTCTGTTTCAGTGCGGGTGCATTGCGTCGTCTAAAGTCAGCGTTCAGTTTTCGATGTTGTACAGGTTTAGAATGTTAACATTCATGTCGTTTGTGCGAAATCGAAAGTACCTCTGGAATCCTGCATTCATCTTAATTTGAACTCAATCTATTTCGCAAACTGTGCAGGCAGTTTTGCGCGGTGTGTGTTTAAAGTATGCCTGATCAAGAATTGGAATTTGTTTTTGTGCTAACAGAAGTTATATTAAGAAGTTTTTAGTTAAATGGTTAAATGTTTGAATATTCATGACTACAATAGCGCTTTCCTGTTTTTATAAACATGCCGACTATTGTACGAATCCTACACAAACACCGACGCTCAGGTTTCCTTCTTGTACTATGTTTTAGCCACAGTCAAATAAAACTTCACCCGTGGCCTTCCTGCAATGGCTGAACGGGAAAACACAGGAAAATCATAGACTTTAATTGGTGTATACAGTTTGATAACAAACACGCCATAATCCTTCATGGGTAACTTCACCTTCATTATCTCTGTATTCATTATCAAAGCGGTATCATGATTTCTGTGACCCTGTATATTTCTTATCAAACTGAACGCAAATTTTGTGAATTCAACTTACAGCAAATGAAAATGAAAACTCATAACCCGACAGTTTACGGTAAAAGACAGATTTTTTTGGTGAATAAGATTACCCATTGATCACAATTGGCAAAGAATACGTCAAATCGAAATCCTAATCACTTATTTGTAACCCCTTAAATGAAGTAAAACTTATATGTAACCTCTAAAAACGAAGTCCAATGCTCGTATTGCGAATATGAAACCAGGGTTTAAGTCGTTTTCAAAATCCACGCCAAATTGAAGTTTTATTTTACAAATTGAACAGCGCATTTTCCGAAATTGGCCAAGAACACCTACAGAGCGTTGACATCAGTTCTCAGCATCAATTTATTTTATCCATTTCAACTTCTCTTATTCTGACCGTCATGCGATGCTGGAGTTAAGATGATCCCTTGGGCAAGGCGCCAGTCTGTCTGTTGTGATTTGCAATCCACCAGACAGCAAAGTGAATCAATCTTGATCCAACAGTTTGTGTAGTCTTCATTCAAGGCACGAATGACATTCCAGATAGCAGTACCAGGTAAGAAGTAACACGTAAAAGGCAATTTTGATTGGCGAAGCCACGACCAGCTTTACTATATCATATAGAATATACTTCTATTTTTCTTTCCACATTTCTGCCGATTTGGTAGAGAAATTGTTTTGAACAATGCATTACATGTTGTGGATATAATCCAATGAATGCAGAATTTCCCTGAAACATTTTTGCCGTCACACTCACTCGCAAGGAGGGCGAAGGGGAACGTTGATATCTTGCAACGAATCACTGGTTGAGCATTTCTGCGCAAGCATGGAATGATGATACCCAATCAACATGGACTAGTTACGCGTGCGCGTGCTGCGCGCCGAGTTAATGCGCACGAAGTGGCGGCATTTGAATGTTTGCATAACTAACCGCGCCGCCTGCCGCAGCGCTTATAACTTAAATAAACACGGAGTAGCTCCCTACTCACACTGGTGTCTTTTTTTCATGTTTGAATGGCATCGCCGCACGCAATGATGTTTTTGTGCTACTGGATGGGTATCCACGGTGTCGAACGCCGAAGGCTAATTTATGAGATGTCAAAACGTCCATTTTGAAAGTGGTTGGTAGTTATAGCCATATCCAGGGACTGAACCCATGCATTCCAAAAGAACAATGAGTTTGAACCAGCAGTTCGTCTTGTGGCTGAGAATTCTGGTTGTCCATTACAACAAAGACCCACAAGGCATGATATGCTCTAGACGTTGTGAATGGAATTTCAAATTCTGGCTAGCTGGACCAAATGGCAGTAAACAATAAAACAGTTGAACAGTTTGTTTCAACTTCCAACTACACCGCGGTGGTTTGATGCGATGTATGAGTTATACACTTGTTTTGTTTACACACGTCGATAACAGATTGATTTCCAAGGAAAATGTTTTCCGATTGTCCCTCCGAAAGAGTTTGTATGCATCACCGTACAAATTCGTAAATTTGCAGATCTGGAAATTAGGAAAAGACCAAATGAGAATAAGTGTATCGATCTTTATTCGTTGTACGCCCGACGTTTCTCCCAGTCCTGAAAAAGAAAACCTGACCGAAAACTACAAAAATCAAAACAGTTTTCACTACAACAAGCACCACTACCGAGCTCGAACCGGCAGGGTGCATTACAAATAGGCCTACATCCCTTTGGTACTTTAGCAAAATGCTGATCCCCTACAAGCGAACCTATGACAGAATCGACGACCAACACGTCGATCTATACGCCCGAGGATAACTGCAAAAACACAGGACTCGTTCAACAGAATGCCAGACTGATCGGTCTTTGAAATATAATAGCCCATAAAGTCAGTAACCCTATTCAGTCGCTTCGTATCTGAAATAAATTGTCTCACGACAATAAATACTTCGTTGCACGCTGCGTCTTTACCAAACTAAAAACAGGTCTGTAGTGAATTGCAAAGATCAATGCCGTCAGGTAATCAACCTTGACGGTATCGTGGCTGCAGTAAATCACGAATTGCCAAGTGTGGAAGCAAAATCCCATTTTGCTTTTGAACTCACTGAACAATGCAAAATACACTCACGCATGCCAAACGAACAATACACTGCATGCATATTTGTGCGGAGTTCTTCCCAACTGTCTCTTCGTAAAAAAAGAATTACAGTCGCTGTGCGGTAATTTGGAAAGTCAATCTGTCACAAGACTTGCTTGGGATGTTTGGAACGGAATTTATAGACCTGAGGCTAGAGGGACCCGATATCGGTGGTAAACAAGAAAATGGCGGACAGAGGAAATGTACCCGTGATTTGCTTACATACTTTCACAGGAGTTTCCAAGCTCCATCGAATATACAAGGCAAGATATAGGACGGAGGGGTACCCCCTTACCTGTCCAATCCCTATACGCACTCTAGACTATTGTTACCTAAACACATCCCCCTAGAAGTCTGTAAAGAAATCCTGAGATTCCGATCAAACAATGACCAACACAAAGGGGGGGGGGTTCTCTCCGTCCCATATCTCGCTTCAAATGTCATCTAAAGCAAAACAAACAAACAAACAAACACCCCAACAACCCAACAAACAAACAAATAACTAAACACAAAAACAACCCAACAAACAAACAAAAACAAAACAACAGCAGCAGCAAAACAAAATCCCGGTTTTCCGAGTCCCGTGGAGAGGTATTGGTTGAAATTGATTATGGAGGGCAGTTTTGGATAAACACCTGCATTCTTTTGCAATCATGAAGTTTGCAACTTTGGCGATGCTAAAAAGGTAAAATCAGAGTAAAAGTGATGATATTCAACGGGAGACTTTAAGACACTGGGTGGCAAAAAACATACCGGTCTTTGTATCAGTTCTGATCATGTGCGCGTTGTTCTGAGCACGCACAATATCTTAAAAAAGGACCGGTATGTCTGTTGCCATCAGCGTCTCAAAGTCTCTCGTTGTCGAGTGTTTCGCGGCCCTTCTGAAGCTTGACGATAAAATGACCTTGAAAGCATGGTCACAAGTAACTAGTTACTAGAATCCGTAAGCAAATTGTCTGGAAAACAGGGCTGCCCTGAAATTTAATCCCCGCTGTGCTTTGTGAGGAATGGTATTCCTTGCAATTATGATTGGATAGGCCTATGCAGTGCCTCAGTTGAAACTCGCAGCTGAATGAAGACTTGAATTTGACAGTGATGCGACGGCCACATCGGCAATCTACAGACAAAACGCGATGTTTTAGTTGTATCTACCATTCAAAGCAACGCAACAAAAGTGAGGCTAGATGAAAAAAATAGTCCGTTCCCTTTTGTCAATAAGTGAAGTTGTATTACCATTGCCAACGGGTCTATGAAGAACAAGACAAATATGGCAGCATTATGATAAAGGTCTATTGGAGGTTATAAAATGATTTCAACCACTCATTGGTCTACATGATCATCCAAAGCTAAGAGGGGGCGAATGCACTCTTGATCGGGACTAAACCACCTTCAAGCCACGTAGTGCATTTGGGGTGCATAAAATACAGACTGTATTTATTTCAGTTTTATATTTATTTTTATTTCGGGGCTAACCATTTTCAAAGGAAGCCGCAGGACTGGCTCGTCAAGCACCCAGCTACAACACTGTCAACCCAAAGGCATGACAGGACGCCTGAACACTCGAGGCCCATTCTACACACGTGGTCGTACAAGCGTGACATACACTGTGTGGACCTCTGCACAAAGGAAGTCCACATAATGTAGAGTATGATGACGTTGTGTGGACTCACACAGGTCCACACAATTTTAACCTCTCAGAAAAACCGTTTCAGAGGCATTTTTGGGTCAAGGTCATCTGTGGCAAAATGAAGAGGACCAGTCTAGGAAATCACCATTAAAATGCAGCTCGAAGGAGTTATCCCAGTTTGGAGAAAAAGCAGCATTTTCCTCAAGTTTCCTCAGCCACAAGAGAATAAATTAATGTCCACACTTTGTTTGTAAAACAGGTATGGGTGAACGAAAGGGTCAGCTGGGGATGCGTTTTGGCGGTCATAATAAAAGAGAGGACCGGTCGTTCTTCGCGGGAGATTTTCACGTGATGATCTTGCAGTCAAATCCTCGAAGCGGTTTATAAAATTTATCGGACAGAAACAACGAAACCGACTCTAGGTTATGACCGGTAAACTAAATACACTCATTCCTGATCATGACTGCTTTCGATTTGCAGCTTTGCGGCCTTTCTGCTCAACGGTTATGATTGGCTGGGATGCAGTGTCAAAAAATCTCAAACCACACACATAAAAGAACGTTTTTCTAGCATGTTACGGTGAACATAGCCAAGATTTGAAAGGGCCTCCTTTCAAAACTTTCACAGTGAAAAGAATTTCATCCATTTTGTAAATGAAAGAAAAGGAAAAAACAAACAACAAACAAACACGCACACAAAAAACCCTAAAAACAAACAAACAAACAAACAGAACAAACAAACAAACAAATATTAAGCTTAAACACTTAAAGCCCGAATTACTGCCTCCCTCTCGTTAAGGTTTACGAATGCGTTTTCTCATTCTCACCCCTCTCTCTCATTCAGGGGAGACTGCCACGGCACGTGAGCAGCCAGAGTGTGCGTTGTGTGTCCAGGTAGACAGGTGCGCCTTGAGTAAAGGCCCAAGTGACAATGAAGCCTTCTTAATGCACAAAATGATGGCTGATAGGATCGCACTCTCGTGACAGTCGACGATTAGACGTGAGTGAAACCATCACTGGGACCTTCTGTCGCGAACTACAGACCCCCTCCTCAGCAGTGGACGTACCAAGATACCAACACCAATGGGCACAAATGAGTAAAACAGTTCCAGCCATTCATTTCAAACTGATCGCTTAAACTGCTGCTTCAATAACCGGTAAGAGATCAGGCTCGGATGGAGTGACAAAAGAAGGAAAAACAAAAATAGGGAACATAATTTTAAAATATCAATAAAAAAAGGAAGGTAAAACAACATAGTATTCCACAGATTCTTAATATGTGTACAAGGTGAGTGTTAATACAAATAGGAGTCTTTAGTCCGCAAAAATGAGACTTTAAAAAAGAAAATCTACGGCCTAATCCCCGAGGAAAAGTCCTGGATTCGCCCGTGAAGACTGTGGTTGAGAAAAGGGTGATAACCTCAAATACATTAGCACTTTGTAGCATCGCCTTGTATTAGTGTTGACTAATACAAGAGCATTTAAAGCAATTCATGCGCTGAAAACAATCAAATTTTGGCACACAACGCCTTGTATCCATTTTGAATCCTAAATGGTTGCACAACGTTTATTAAAATCATTAATCGTTTTCTGGTAATGACACCAAGGATTCCTGAAAAGCGACCTCGACAACAAAAAAAACCCAAAACCTGTAGAGAGGACACTATGAGAAGCAATCACACTTTAAGAGGTGGGAGGAAACCCCCATGTAGAGGAATATTCCAGGTAAAACTCACGGAATACGATAGGGACTAAAAACCCAATCCACAGAGTTGGAATGCGAGGAACGAACCACTGCACCGACCTCGCTTCTCGTGCACTCTCCACCCAAAACCTCTAACCAATCGTAATCATTCACAGTGTCATATTCAGAAAGGTACACGTATGACGACAACAATACCGTGCAGGTTCAATAAAAGTGGGCGGATCATCACAGAGATGTCAACTTTACAACATGGTGTTGCGTGGTCGTTATGAAACACGCCCCATTAATTCTCCCCTCTGTTGAGAGACTCAGTCGTGTGGGTCAAATGGTGAAAATGTTTTAGCGACTAGGAAATAAAGAAACTCCAGAACAGCAGAGCGCCATCCAATGACAGTTTTAAAATACATAGAGACACTTTTCGATCCTAAATTTTAGCCAGATTACTTTAGGCCCTACCACGAGGGCGTAAAATATATAGCTACTGTAACCACTTGAGGGCGCTCTACATGTACGTGCTTTCTAGATGATAATCCGACTTTATAGCGCCTTTCATATGTAAAAACCCCTTTCGGGTACACACGTAATGTACGGCAGGCACTCTACGATGAACATTAAGCACGTACTTGTACAGTACAAGTTTTCGTTCTTCCTCTTAATTAAAGGCCATCCGTTCACAAAAGGGTAAACACATACGGATGAAACTGGGGACTGACATAGAAAAATTTACCGAAATTGACAAAGGCCCTCAGTTCAGTGGTAAAATTCTTGAAAGCTCAAGGTCGTCTACGAGACTCTGCCTGAAGTTGGCATGCTCTCCTGTGCCACGGAAAGCTTCCTGAGCTCGCAAAGTGTTTGAGTGATCGACTGATCCATCATCCTTGGGTGCAAGTTTGCTATGTGTAGCTCGGACAACAGCATTCACCTCACTCAGGATTTTGCTCAGGATTTCCAGCCCTCTTGAAAGATCAAGCACAATACCTGCAGAGTTCTGATGATCATTCGGGTCTGCTCTCAAATCCGTTGAACAATCCACTCGCTATACATTGTTAACTGAATCACTTTTTAAGAATTGTTTCCACCCGGGTTGACTCTTAATGCTGATGTAATCCTGAAGTTTTTGTGGTATTGATTCCGAATGGGGACTGCGAAGCATTAAGGTCTGCACTGAGACCAAGGAACTGATTTGTTAAACATGGATCTTCTGTGTTGGTAGTTTCATTATCTGTTTGTACCAAGGAGACCTCCAGGGACAAGTCCAAGACCAGGGCTATTACCCCCGGAGTGAATCCTTAATATGTGAGCCTTTAAGTTGCTTCCATCAGCGAAAGTTTTCCCACACGCTCGGCACACGTAGGGTCTTTCATTTGTGTGGGTACGCTCATGGGCACGGAGGGTGCTTCCCTGTTTGAAAGCCTTAGTGCACATCTCACATTTGAATGGTTTCTCATCAGTGTGGATGAGCTCGTGAGTTCTCAGATTGCCTCTGGCAGAGAAGGCCTTTCCGCAGACTTTGCAGATATGCGCCTTCTCCTTGGTATGGGTGCGGATGTGCGCCTTTAGGGTGCTGCTCTGGGTGAAAGCCCTGTCGCAGATTTTGCAGGTGTAGGGCTTCTTATTTAGGTGGATGCGCTCGTGAACACAAAGGGTGCTGCGCTGGGTGAAGCCCCGTCCGCAGTGCTTGCAAACGTAGAGGGTGTCCATGGAGTGGGTCCCCATGTGAGCCTTCAGGTGGCTGCTCTGGGTGAAGGCTTTTCCGCACTCCTTGCAGACGTAGGGTCGCTCATTGGTATGAGTGCGCTCGTGGCTGATGAGGTTCCCACTAGAGGCAAAGGGCTTGCTGCAGTGCCGGCAGACATAGGGCTTTTCGTTCGTGTGGAGTCGCTCGTGCTTCTTGAGGCTGCTCAGGTTAATGAAGCTCTTGCCGCACTCCGCGCAGACGTTGGGATTGTCCTGGTTGTGGATCCGCTCGTGGCGGCGGAGGTTTGCCACATCGGCGAAGGCTCTGCTGCACTTACTGCACACGTGGGGTTTAAGGTTGGTGTGGATGATTTTGTGCCTGTTGAGATGGCTACCTTGCCTAAAGCGTTTCCCACAAAACTCACAGCCATAAGGCTTATCATTGATGTGGATTCTCTCGTGACTGATGAGGGTACCGCTGGCAGCAAATGCCTTTCCACAGTGTCTGCAGACAAATGGCTTCTGCTTGGTGTGGAGTCGCAGGTGGGTTTTGAGGTAGGCAGCGGCGGCAAATGACTTGTCGCAGTACTCACAGGCGTAGATCTTGCCGTCGGTGTGCAGCCTGGTGTGTTTCTTGAGGCTGCTTGGGTTCTGGAAGAGCTTGTGGCAATGCTGGCACTGGTAGGCCTTAGCCACGTTGTGGACCTGCTGGTGCTGCTCCAGGTCTTCCTTGGTAGTGAAAGCCCGGGTACACTTGTCGCAGACAATGATAGGCTGCCCAGGCTGGCTGTCCACAGCGACCTGCCTGAACATTGGTGGCCCAAGTCGGTCCAGCAACTTGTTTGAGATCTCTGACCTCTGACCCTTGACCTCTGATTTACTAACTTCGGGTGTGTGAATTGAGAGATTGCTCCACGATTCTATGTTACCATCACCATTCATTAGAGAGGGTTGAAGTAGTTCTTCAGTGTTTCTCTGACCTCTGTTTGAGCAGTTTAAGCTAGCAGAGGCAGAAACAAGGTTCAGGCTAGGATCCTGGTCAGCATTTGGGGTAGGCTGATACGGAGTCTGGCCAGATGGTTCTGTGGTATCTGGTGGCAAGTCAACCTGCATCTCCAAGTTGATCCCATGTCTGTATTTGAGATGTCTGGCAAGGAAAGCAACGCTACTGAAGACGTAGGAGCAGAAGGGGCAGGGCTGATGCTCACTGTCTGCAAGTTTAGAAAGTACATGTCAATGGATTACAAGACAAATTGATCAACTTGTATTAAGCAGTGTGGCAGTTTTTGTCAAATAATCAATACCACACAAATGCACACACAGGAAAACACAGTGTGAACTTGTAAAAATTGACTTCAGTGACATTGAATATAGCTTATTGCATGTTCTGGTTTTTTTAAATTGTGGAACCCAAAATCAACCTAATGTAAATGTAGCTTTCAGATTATAACAAATAAAGTCAATTCATTTTCCTGGAATTAATTTCGACAAGGAAAAACCGATATTTGTTTGGGAAGAGAGGTATAAAAATCTGCTGACAAAAATGTGGGGGCTTTTTAAGCACTTGACACAGGATGATGTGAAAAGACACACAACTTTCCTTATTTGTTCCACAGAGGACGTGTACACTCGTTTAAGAATGCCTTTCTAATTTCTGCGGTTAATGTACCATATTAATGCGTCGTGCTCGGCTGGGTTAAGGTACAATAGCAAGGTTGAAGAATTTGCGGGTAAACAAACCCGTCCGAGCAGCCTTTAATCTGACGTTAACTGGCTATATAAACCATTTCCAGCGTGGTGGAACAGAATCCGTAATACCGGGTCACTTCCTTAATGGCATTGAGTACCTGGGATGTATACATACTTGCAAACGAAGACGCTTGTTCAAGCTGCCTAGCTATTGTCTTGTGGATGTCCATAATGCCCATCAGGTTTACTGGTTTCGCTGGGTCAGGGTCATCAACAGAGGGCACTGTGCCCTCACACCCCTGATCATTAACTCCTGATCCAGGCTTCTTTGCTTGGCGTATGGTCGATGTTATCTCAGAGGGTAATGTAATGCAGTGGTGTTGGAAGTTTGATGGTGGTGTTGATAAACCTAGTGAATGGAAGACATCCACCAAAGAGTATGTTCAAACAACAAGAAACAAACAACGAAAAACAAAAGTCCACGTTTTAGTATCAGTTGGACACAGTTTTGTTTTAATCAAAATTAATCATATCCTCCGGTCTTTTGGGAAAAACTGCAGGTATGGTCCAAAGAAAATAAACCAATCACACTTTTTGCAACTACCGACATCAGTGCCTGACTCACCCACCCTATATCAAACTTACATGTAAAGAGTAGTTGTTATAATTTCTTTTCAATACAAACCTCCAAATGAACCTTTGCGTCTCAGTTAACCTATTTTCAGCTTTTTACAATATTCCAAAGGGGATTTAACTGCCTTTTTGTTTTTTTTAACGCTAATGAGTATTCCAATATTCATGTGCAAAACTGTGAAGTCATCTCAGGGAGAAGCCTCAATGTTACAATGGCTTGTACAAAAACAGTCGTGCATTTTTGTAGATTTTCCTGGACTCAGTTTTCCCTTCTTTGCTGAGTCAGGGTTTAAACACATGTACATACATAGCAACAAAAACATCCTTCCCTCTCTCAGAATTGCTTTCAGTTAGTAAATTCTGGGTTCCCAATTTGAATAGAAACACCCATGCACTCAATCATGTCTTCCTTTACATGTAACCTCACACCAACGGCGCCCTCAGTTGTCCGGGAAACCATCGATAATTTTCATTGCTTAAAAGCATGCCATTTTCAAAGCATTAAACCAAACAGGAAAGTACATGTAAACGAGTTTTCAAATACATGTACATTGTACTGTATTGAAGGATGCAAAAGTGAAAAAAAACTGTGTCTAAGAAAAATGTATTGCAGGTACACTTCAAAAACCTTAATTATTCCAAGCCCCTCAAATCTAAGCAGTTTTGTCAAATGGTGGCTGATTATCATGAACTTGTTGAACTTTGTTGGACTGAAGAACATGGGCGCAGTGTGAAGGTGTGAGATTTGGACTGGGAACACACAAGTGGTCATTATGTAAAGTGACTGGCCAGTGGAACCGAATGTTGGACTTTGCTTAATTTTGTAAAGTTTGGTACCACCACCGCATAAGTCACCCTTCCGTACCAAATGACTCATACTCTAACTGTTTTGATTCATTTCATGGGTTCTGTCCAGTCATGTGCTACTACATGTGTGTAAGTACAGTGACCCACCTGCATGAAGCGGCCAGAATGTCGTTTTTGTATTTTGTTTTGTTCACAAGTGCAGGGTGCTGGGTGAAAACCTTGCCAGCTCAGCAAACTGAAACACCATCACTGTCACTACTGTCACCATTGTCATCACAGCCATTGTCACCGTCACTACCACCACCAGCACAGCAGCTTCCTACTGTGAAACTCAACTACTACTGCTACTCTACGATGCCACGCTGCTGTGTTTCTGTGCTACTATTTGATTGAAGTCATCTGGTCATAACTGAATCACAGATTATTATCATCCGACCTCAGACTTTGTTATTGTATTGCCACCCAAGCTTGCCACGTCATTCCAGCAAATAAAGTGACATTTGAGTTACAATGTACATGTACATGTAACGGACATTATTTGATTTCAATTTGTTTTCCAATACTCAACTGCGACTCCGTCTCAGGCTTCAGCTGTTTTTTCTACCTGACTTTGAAGCTGGAAGTGCGATATTTTGTCTAATAGTGCCACAAAACATCAAATAGGATGCAAGAGAGCCAAAAATTACAGAAAATCTAATTTTATTTAAATGCGTCAGGCCCACAATCGGGGATTGATTTCGGGGACGAAGCCTGAGACGAAGTTGATCATTGGAAAATGGCCCTAATCTTGGTGCGTGTCATTGCTGAGTCACACTGTTTGACGATCTGCAGCGCAAAAGGTTACACTGCTTGTATCTGTTGAAATGTGTTAGGATGGGAACTGTTTCTAAAGCACCATGGGGGCTTTGGGCTACTGAGGTAAAACTCCACATTTCCCAAATAGAGTTGTTTTAAAATCATCCAGGTATTCCATTGTTCCAAATTATGGAACTAAGTAGTCCCGGGTTCAATCCTGTGATCATGAATTTTTGTAGTTGATCATTCCTTGTTTTCTTTTTCTTTTCTTCAATCATATACTATGTTTAATTACCACAGATGCCTTGTTTCTTTTTTAGGATGGCTTCATACATGTGGCAATGGAGGATTTTCCGAGAAGGACTGATGATCTGCTTCCTGTATCCAATGCTTGAACATGGTGCAATAGGAGGAGGAAGCAACCAATCTAAAGTAAAATACAGTCTAGTCTAGTACAGGTACAGTCAGTTACATGTAAGTCTAAAGTAAAGTACAGTGAACTGCACCAACAGAGGGCGCTATTTCCTTAGCAACAGAGGCTCCTTTTGGCACTAAGTGCACATCGTTACATGTAGTTCATGAATGACTAGGAAATACAAGCATTGCAGTCACGTCCCTACCAACAAAAAAAAACCACTTCCGACAAATGCAGCTCTTTTCAAATGAGGGGATGCTTCTGCTCAAAGAGGATAAGACTTGACCTTTTCTTGGCTACAATTCTTTTCTGAAGCCATGGAATTACTGCACAGACTGGCTTCCCATTCCAGTAGTATGTGCTTTATTGATCAGCTACAGAAAATCATCGCAGCCTGGAATACGTGGAGTTTTAACAACTGTATTTACAGTGAACTCTTCTTACATGTACAATGAAGATAAGGAACTAGAGAAAACCATGTAACATTGTTATAACCAGGACTTTGTTATAACAAGGTCCTGGTTATAACAGGAGTGGAAACACAAAGAAAACACAAGAATTCAGGAAATTGGGATTCTCAGAAATTTATCTTTATAAATAGTATTTACGTGTCGCCTGTAAGCGTTTTGACCACAAAGTATTATGCAGTGCTTCAGGTGCCACATTTTAACATTACAGTGTATCTTCGAGCAAAATTGAATTCTCAATTATGATTGGTTGATGCACGGCAACAGTGTGATGTAACTGTATTGCACAGTTCATATCAAACCCCGCATAATGTGCTATTCTAACTCAATGCACTCTGCTACATTCATGCTCAAGGCAAAACACACATCTGCAAAATTTACTGTAAATTCAAAGGTGGCATGTTATATCTTTACTGTGCCAGAAGCTTGCTCGAGGATTTAAATTCATAAATCGCACTCGTTCTCCTAGAATATGGAATTATGTTCCAACGGTAGTGCCTTTGGCCTCCTGGTATACGGGACACAGACACACTACATTATCCTGTGTGCCACTTGTGCTTGTGTGCTAACTAATCATATCGCTGGAAAGAGAAATCTTACCATGAGTGAAGCCTCCAGTAGCTATGCTTGGCTGAACGTCAAAGCTATCTGTTGGGCGGTACTGGACGGGGCGATTTCTCTTTCTCCTGTGTCGGTGAGGGTCGCCACCAGCTGTGGGTATTGACGACGATGCCTGCTCATCCCCGGACATGGTAAGACCTGGAGTTTAGGGGAAGATGAAGAAGTGAGACTTAAGCCTATTTTTTGCAGCTCTGCTCGACATAATAAACTCAACTACTTTAGTGGCTAATATACATGTACATTGTTCGTGCCAAGCTTTCTCTATCAGGCTTTTTGGACACTTCTGCCGACCTACGGACACTTCTGCCAAGCTACCAGTATGCACAAAAGAAGCTCACAAAGCTGTGCAAATCTTGTGGTCCCTGTATGACCATCATGAGACCCCGAAAGAAAATCACACAACCTCTAGTCTAAATTCAAGTCACAAGAGCTGTCTAATCTAACGTAGGACTGGTCTTGTGTACGGTTCTCTCATAAAATGCATGCACACCTGGACTGGTATGATTAACATGCATATTATGCCACATTGGCCCATCATGACATCAAGAAATTTCTGTTCTTTTCCATGTGAATGTATAATGCTAACAGAGAGAGACAAATAAAATGTGCTGTCAAAAGATCAACACAATTTATCAAATAAGAAGGAACGTCTTTTGAAGTATGACCTGAATCAGGACTTCGTAACTTTGACGTGCAATTTTACACCAGATTAAAATGTTTAATTAATGGGTAATTTACAGTATGTGCAAATCTTCAGCAATTTTGTACAAGAAGAAAAAATTAATTCTTGTTTCACCACTGCAATGGAGAGAATAAGTTCATTGGACAATAGACATAATGCTCAATTTCATAAAGCTTTGCCTCGGGGAACAGTACATTCCATTTATCACTTGATTATATTGTTCAGACTGCTCCATTCATAAGGATCACTATTTACTAAAAATAAACACAATTAATCAACGAGAGCCTGAAAATATCTGAATTTTTAGGTGAACCAAACCAAGGGAGTTTTTCAATATCATTGAGGCTTTACATCAAACATTGAAAATTTCATTTTTGTTCAGTAGAAATAATCATTTTTTTTGTTGCCTAATTAAATATTCCATTTGATCTGTCACCTCACAAAACTATTCTTAACAAGCTCGCAAACATTCCTTTCATACACACAGGAAAGTTTGTACACTGTGTCACTTGGACGAATTCTGAACAGGTTTGAGATGGAGCAATTGTTACTGAGCGATGAACATTTAGACTCTGTTTTCAGCTATAAATGTACATGTATATTGTTGCAGACGTTTTGCAAGTATGGTTTTTGGTAATGAACCTTAAAACTGATGGGACCAGCGGCATTGTGATCGAGTCCATCACAAGTCCCTGCAAGGCCACCTCAAGTCCATCACATGTCATCCAGTGTTAAGCCGAGTCGCAAGCGGTGCAAATGAACTGTGACAAAAGCATGACTGGTCTCGTGACTTGAATTGTGTGGGGAATTGTACATGACAGTGCCAAATACCACAACAGAGGGCACCGACTAACCCACTCTTTTTGGTTGGGTATCGGATATATCCTGGTCACTCGTCACAGCCCTAACGAGGTCATAACGAACCTGATTTTGACAGCAGGTCACTGTGTGCCTTCACCTCAGGAGACCTGTCCTTCTCACAAACACCGAAATCAGACAGCTGCTCACCTTGTCGTTTGGCTGTTGTCATGGTATCATGCTTACTGCATGTTTCCCGTCTAAATAGATCAATTGAAATAAAAATTTAAAAACTAAAATGGGGAAAGCGAGAGCATACATAGACAAATCTGATGAGATGCCTTTCCGAGGGGCAATGAGACTCCCACGGCAGTCTCAACCTAAGCGCATCTGCACTTTGCCAACTAATTACAACACGAACCTATTGGTTAAGGGGGAATATCTCACGGGCGTGCCACCTGCGTGCAAACAGGATGGCCCCGTAGTAATGGCTTCAATTTTTGGTCATCGGATTTGATACATGCAGCTGTAAACATTGGAAGCCCTCTAGTCAGGGAATGCAAAAACAGTGATTTCTTTGGTTTGGCCGACTGCAGCTCAACTTACATGTATAAACATGTACTAGGAGGCACACGTACAGTGTAGATGGCAATGTACATGAATAAGAAATGCAATAGAAACGTTTTTGTTTACAGGGTAGAAAAACCAAGTAAAATGAGCAAATGTCCATGTAAACATCATGTACAGTTCCTTTTTATTCCTGCATGTAAATTCCTAACAAAGTTCCAGGAAACAGCATCATACCTGTAAATCTCTGACATGTTCTATTTTTGTTCCTTTTTTTAAATTTCAATTTCAGGGACTATTTTCGAAAGGATATGGCCTACCGCATATCCTTGTACATGCACCATCCTTTGGGAGGTGACGATTCTTCAAAAATTTGTAATTTGTTTTTTTTTAGGGGGGGGGGAAATTCATGTTCTCTTGCCCTGCCCCCTCGCCAACATGTGACATACATGTACATTTACATGTACGCCACTGAACTGAAATCACCCCCCCCCACAAACACACAGTTCAGACCACGATGTTCCGGTACATCTATACTGAGAAATACACAGGGGGCCTATATGTGCATGTATGTTATGCAGACAACCCCTGGAACTTACTGGCAGGGGCTCCTTGAGATGCCCCTTGGAGATGTGGAACGAGGAATCCTGGGATATTGATAGTTCTAGGGTCAGGTACATGTATGTACTATTCAACACAGGCTCATGGCATCTTGCCCCCTTGAACCTTGCCAATAGACCCTCTCCGTTTATCATCCCGTTGGAGGGCATTTCTTTCTTCTTCTAGGATTTTGCGCATTCATTGTCATTAAATCTAAATACACGTAACAAACATGTCCTCTGGGAGGGCACTCTTCACAGACCCTCTATGCTCGTCTGCACTCAAATATCACATTATCTTGTACATGTACTTGTACCCTCAGACATGCCAGACGTACAATACAACAGGGCACAAACATCACACTTGACTCTAGACAAATCCAGCAACCCAGCGACTGGCAACGAGAAACAAGATGAACCTTGTTATGCTCCAACTATAGCGTTAGTCCCAACTATAGCTGGGACAGTCCCAACTGCAGTGCTGCAGTTGAGCTGGCCCAACTATTGTTGACCAATTTATGGAGAAATTTTCTTAAACGTTATTAAAGTTTATGCATCTTAAACTTGACACAATTCATCTAAAAATATGGCACTTCATCTATGACATGACATTGTAAACAACAGCATAACTTGGGCACATGCATACTGGACCCCTGTGCTGTAGTTGAGCTGGCCCAACTATAACACTCTAGTTGGGACGGGCCAACTACATGTACATGTTTTATACTACAGGTAGTTGGGACTGATGCTGTAGGCCTGGTTGGGGCGTAACAACCCTAATTACATGTAATGTAGTTGAGCAGACATGTACTTGTATATGCTGCACACAAACTCTTTGTACGCCTTACCGTGCAATGTGAACACGTAGTTAATACAAAAACAAAAAAGGACACCATTTTTCGTACCTAGGCCCTGGTAAACATGAACGACCGGTAAGTTACACGACCACGACAACCTGGCCTGGCTAAACCAAACGTTGACTTTCAACTTCAAGAGTCACTTAGGCAGTTAGGCCTAGTTCAAAGCTTCAAATAAAACTTGTCTCAACACAAAAGTGCTCGGAAGTCCATAATTTGAATGTTCTTGTTATTGTCCAGCATAAGGACCAGAATTAAACCTTACCCAAGTTTCGTTGTGTTGCCGAGACGCCGTCAAATTTCTGTCGCAACTAGACTCGTGCGGACAAATGTTACCAGACACCCGACGACGTGCCGAGAATTGGTTTGTTGTTGATTGTCTGGTTGTCGTCTGTCTTTTGGCGCCCTCTGTTGTTCCAAGATTGCAATGTGTCACTGCACGCTAGTACATTGTCTGATGTAGTGAGTGTACAAAACTCGATCTCGATCTCTCATTACTTTATGAGGTAAACAGTTGCCAGTGTACGTGTATTTTCCCACACGCACTCAAAATCATGGGACGCCGACAAAGAAAAACACAATTTCAGCCGATCTCTTGAGATTTACCAAAATTGTCCAGACGATAAACATGTGTGAAAGGGATCATTATTATGTGCAGATACACTTGATTTTATTTCCGATAACAGCATGAAGATTTCTTGATTCGATAACACCTTAGCGTCAGTGGGAAAAAACTAATCAGAAAACGACACCAACTGTCCTCAAATTCAACGATTGGGCCCTCGAGTATAATGACGTAGTCAAACTGCTGGATATTTCATGATTGTGTAAGCCAGTAGTGTTCGGTACATCTTACGACGCCCGCGACACGCCACAATTTACCACCAACTGACCGTCAACCGCGGCATCGCCTGACCTGTAATGGATTTTGGTACCCGCACTCCCTTATGGGTGGGGGGGGGTGTCGCAAAGAAAAAGGAAGAGACGATCGACAGCATCCGAAAACGACCCTTCCAAATAATTCTTGGAAGGAGTTCACGGGGTGCATGG